TCCATTTCAAAATTAGTTCAGTTTAACTGTCTCTTCTTTGATAAGTTCCCTGCTTACTGCCTCTCAAGACTACTTGTGAAGGGTTTGCAGAAGCAAAAGCTAACTTCAGAGATATAGAGTATGACAGCTACTCAGCCTTCTATGGGGGCCCCAGGCCAGAACCACAGGGCAAGCACCCTTGTGCTCTCACCCTTTGGCTCCCGCCTCTGGAGGAGCCTAATATAATTAAGGCTCAGCCAGCAGAGGGCGGGGCCAGCAGTCAGCCCCATGCAAAACTGCTATAAGCTGCAATCAGTTACAGCCAGGCAAAGGAGACAAACACAAACCACACTCCGTCAAACAAGCACCATTCTCCAACAGATTATACACACCCACACACCCTCAAACACTGTCCTCCCACACAGTAACCTCACCTCCTCCTCCTCAGCAGTTAAGAAAAGGCAAATAATAACACACCACTCCAGCAGCAGCGGCGCTCCCCTCCCCTGCCCCTTCTCAGAGCCCAGCTGACTGTGGTCTCTGCAATTATGGCCCCTGGTAATAGAACAACTGTTTTGAGATTGGAATGATGGCCCCTGGGTATAGTAGAATGGCCTTCCCTGGGACTGGAATGACAGTAATTTAAACCTAGTTTGTACTTTGTTGGTCTGAATTCTGAAAAGGTGTTTGTGCCTCACTGGACCCCACTGGATAAGACGGCAGGGCTGCAGAAGCGGAGCAAAATCTCCGTGGTGCCACCAGCCTCTGCTGCACCCTGCCGCCTCCTTCCCTCTCCTCTTTTCCTCACCACCACATGAATTTCAACACCTTCTATGAAGTGAGAGGAACTAATATCCATGGATATATGAAACAGTACCAGACGAAAGAAACAAATGTGGAAGCTATGTGTTGTTATAATTATTTTATTATCATTACCAGTGGTATACAGCATTTGTTGTATTCTGTGAAATACTTCTAAGCCAACATGAGCATGTAGAGGAAGGGTACCTATCTGGAGAAAGCACCTACAGGTCCAGACTTTCAGAACCAAAGGCTGCTTTTCTTGCCTGGCCGCTTTCTCCCCGTTCAGAGCCCAAAGTGCTGATGTTGCACCAGCCGCAGGATCAGGAGGGGATCTGTGGGCAGTTATTGCTTCTTTTGGAAGATCCCGGGTGAAACCTCATTTGTGGGCTCAGGCATGACCTGGATTTTTTGGTTCTGCAGAGCAGCTTCTCTCATTTTGTAGTACATAAATTCATTCTGCTGGAACATGCGCAGTTCCATCTCCGACTGAACACGCATGGCCTGCACAGAAGGAAGGAAACAAAGAAAAACCTGAGAGAAAACTGTCTTCTGACTAGCCAGGATCCTTGTAATCTAATTTTAACTTGAACTTGTTTCTCTAAAAACTGCATTTATTTATGTGCTGCCACTTCAGAGACCTGCCCAAGGTGGTTCACAAAGTAAAATATGATAACATCATAATCACAAAATAAAAACTACCACTTAAAAAACTATAAAAACGGCCAGCCAGAACATAGAAATGGCACAACTTGTTTAGCAGCCGAAAATGATTTCCATAAAACAGCCCACATGCGAGAAGCAGGACACAACAAACAATTTTAAAAGACGGAGCCTCACAGGTAAAAACCAAGGTAAAAAGATATTTCTGGTGTAGAGCCTAAAGAGAGTCAAGTAGGTGCCAGGTGGGGGGAGACATTCCACTGGGAAAACCCCTTTCAGTGGGCCTCACGTGCCTTGCCCATGACGTGGTCTTAGCCAGTGTTCCCCCTCAGCTGAGTTAGCGTGAGCTAGCTCACAGTTTTTTAGCCTCTGGCTCACACAGTTTTTGTCTCAGCTCAGGAAGGATGGCTCCGAGCAAAGTAATTTATGCAGTAGCCAAATTGCTGGCTCACCACTTTAAGGCCAGCAGCTCACCAAGTAGGATTTTTGCTTACAAGACTCCACAGTTTAGAGGGAGCCTTGGTCTTAGCTGGGAGGCTGGACAGACTGAGAGGAGAGGAGGCGCTCCTTCAAGTGCCCCAGGCCCAAGCCATTTAGGGCCTTAAGGTTAAGAACCAGTCATTTGAACTGTGCCCGGAAACAGATGGGCAGGAAGCACAGCCTTTTCAGCACCTCATTCCAAATCCTCAGGTTGCCGCCTGTCCCACCCCAGATATGTATATTCTCTGTGTCAGAACAGGCCAAATTGCATGAAGTCTATCGGTTATCAGTCCATCATTCACTGCCTGATTTATACACCTGCTCAGAAAGATCCCAAAAGAGTTAAGGCCTACCTTAACCCTTATGACCTGAAACCTTATTCAGTCACCCCTTTGCTCTCACTATTTCAGGCATCAATTTGCAGCAACTGGGCTAGGCAACTTCAAAAAAAAAACAAAAAAAACCCAACCCTCAAGATCTGCCTGGTCTTGAAATCAATGGAATGCATTGATTGAGTCATGGATTGCCTGAATAATCTTGGCTGTTGCTGGTGCTTACATCAGCTTCAGCAAGCCAACAGTTTGAATCGCGGAAGAATCATAGAATCAGAGAGTTGGAAGGGGTCCTACGGGCCATCTACCCCAACCCCCTGCTCAGTGCAGGACCAGCCTAGAGCATCCCTGACAAGTGTTTGTTCCGCCGCTGCTTAAAGACTGCCAGTGAGGGGGAGCTCACCACCTCCCTAGGCAGCCGATTCCACTGTGGCACAACGCTTACAGTAAAAAAGTGTTTCCTAATATCCAGCTGGTACCTTCCTGCCTTTATTGCGAGTCCTGTCCTCTGCTGCCAACAGGAACAGCTCCCTGCCCTCCTCAAGTGACAGCCCTTCCAATACTTAAAGAGAGCTATCATGTCCCTGCCAATGTTCCCTCTAAGCTGTGGAGTCTTGTGAGCAAGAATTCTTCTTTGTGAGCTACTGGCATTAAAGTTGTGAGCGAGCAATTTGACTACTGCATAAATTAGTCTGCTCTGGAGCCATCCTGCCTGAGCTAGGACAAAAATGTGTGAGCCAGAGGCTAAAAAAAACTGTGAGCTAGCTCACACTAACTCAGCTTAGAGGGAACACTAGTCCCCGCTCTGCCTCCTCTTCTCCAGACTCAACATTCCCAAGTTCCTCAGCCTTTCCTCACAGGACTTGGTCTCCAGGCCCCCGATCATCCTCGTCGCTCTCCTCTGCACCCGCTCCATTCTGTCCACATCCTTTTTGAAGTGAGGCCTCCAGAACTGCACATAATACTCCAGGTGTGTCCTGAGTAATGCAGTGTACAGCAGGACTATGACATCTTGTGATTTGGATGTTATGCCTCTGGTGATATACCCCAAGATCACATTAGCCTTTTTGGTCGCTGCATCACACTGGCTGCTCATATTTAACTTTCGGTCCACCCGTACCCCAAGATCTTGTTCACACACACTGCTACCGAGAAGTGTATCCCCCTCATCCAGTATGGGTGTTCCTCATTTTTGTTATGCAAAAATGTGTATGTCGAAACAAGTCCAGCTGGAGCATCCCGATGTCCCTGTCATCACCTACCTCCAGGTCTTTGGTGATGGGGTGGGAGGGGCCGTGGGTCACCAGAAGGACAGCGTAGGCCTTGCAGAGCATCTCATGCCCCACTTCAATGAGGCCAGCATGCCAGTGCGTCACTCCCGCTCTCATCAGGGCCATCCCTAGCTGCGCATTGTTGGGGTGATAAAGTTTCCTGAGGTACAAAAGAATAATCTGTTTTTCTTGTCTGCATTTCCAAAACTGTTTCATTGCGTTTGAGGAGGTTTGTGTTTGAAGAGAGCTGTCTGGAATGGATCCACCCTGTCAACAAGAGCGGAGGGGAGCAGGGTCGCCCGAGGTACTCCCTGGCCACCAGCAGGGGGGGGTCTGTGTGTGGGGGGTAGGGTTGCCTTGTCCAGGTTGGGAAACCCCTGGAGATCTGGGGGCGGAGCCGGGGGGTGGGTGGACCTCAGCGGGGTACTCTGCCAGAGAGGCCACCCTCCAAAGGCACCCACTTGCTCCAGGGGAGCCTGGAGGGGAGCTGTGATTCCAGGGGATCCCCAGGGCCCACCGGGAGGCCGGCACCCCTAGGTGGGAAAGTGCACCGCTTGCCTGTCTTTCCTACCCACCAAAGTGGGCACTGCTGTGAGTGGGGTCTGCTTCTTCAGACCACTTACAGCCATTCCAGTGTATTCGAAAAAGTGTGCCTTGCACACGAAAGCTCATACCCTGAATAAACCTTTGTTGGTCTTAAAGGTGCCCCACTGGATTTTTTTTGTTGGCTGCCCACCTGGATCTACACAGGTAAGGACAGACTTTGTCCCACAAAACTCATCTTTGGAGATAAAGGGAAGAGGGTGTGTTCTGAGGTGCTTCCCACTCAGATGGCGGTCTCCTCGGGTCTCTGGGGCAGGTTTTGCTCACACAGCATGAACGGTTGACCCCTGGCATTATTGCACCTAAATGAGGGGTTGCTGTTTATTTCAATAAGAAGAAATAATGGGCTGGTGTTTGAGGTGACTTTGCCACACACACACACACACACACACACACACACACACCCTGATGCTGGGTAGACCCGTCTGTGTCAGGAGGGCACCTTCCTCATACATTTGTGGCAAAGGGGTTGCGTGGGGGGGGGGGATGCAGTACGCTTCTGAGTGCAGAGATGCATTTTGCACGTGCACACACACACACACAGACACACACACACACAGAGGGGTTCCTGCAGTATGGCAGCAACATACAATGAGGGGCATTTTAGTAGTACAAAACTAAGAGTTATCAGATATGTTGTCTTAAGTGCTCTGCACTGCTGAAGGACAGCCAGAAAAGGACACTTTGGCCACGTACACGTAACCGTCCACCATCCGCTTGGAGCAGCCAGCCGCTTCGTTGATGTGCTGAAGGTAAGAGAGAACTTCAGACAAGATGCTGAGGATCCGAAGCAGGTAAATGTTGGTGTCTCCCAGAATGGCCTCCTGCTTCGCCAGACACTCCCGGCACAGTTTCACCACCTCAGGAAATCACAGGAAACAAAATGAAAGCACAAGAACATAAAGGAGCGTTTGGCCTCCACAAGGCATACCTGGGGCAGCATCGGTTACCTTCAGCAACAGGAGGACATATGTTCAGAGACGTTACTGATTGACTTAAAAGGTTTATACATTGCCTCTTCAGATACCTGCCAGTGGAGGCCCACAGCATAACACCAGAAACCAGAAAGCCATAGCCTGTGTTCCGTTTTATCAGCCAGTAATATCAATCAGTAATCCCCAAAAGCATAAAAGCACATGAGAACGCATACAAAAATAACACTTTTCTCCAGAGCAGAATAACAGTGACAGAGAAACCCTGCTTTTGACTACAGTATTGATACACTAGCTGTTTATAAATTCAAAAACTGACCCTGTGGTTGCCTTGAATAACTCGATCCCTTCCTGGACTAACATCCCAGGAAACTGTCTCACATCCTGAAAACCACTGCAGTTCCTCCTCAGCCAGTCTCAGCAAGGACACAGTGAAATGGCAATCATTAAGTGAGTACAGCCCAGACAGAAATGCTGGAAGCCAGCCCTGTAGCTAACAACTTTTTGCTCAGGGGGCCAATGTTTTTCTCGGGGGGGGGGCTGCCATTATATGTCTGTGCAGTACTGCCATGCCATGCTCATACTTCTAAATAACGAAATATTAAATAAAAATACAATAAATAATAAATAATAATACTTGCATTAAAGTTGTGAGCGAGCAATTTAGCTGCTGCATAAATTAGTTTGCTCTGGAGCCATCCTTCCTGAGCTAAGACAAAAACGTATGAGCCGGAGGCTAAAAAACTGTGAGCTAGCTCACACTAACCCAGCTTAGAGGGAACACTGGCTGGGACTCAGGCTCAGCTCATCTTTCTGTTCGTCCCCTCGTCATCCTGCTGGGGGTGTTTCCAGGGGGCCTTCTTTGGCACAAGGGGGTCCCATCCAAAGGGAGGGGGCGGAATGCAGCCATTGTGAACCCCTGGCTGGGACACGGAGTGGGGGGGAGTCTAAGGAGCAGCATGAGAAACGAGACGCTACTGAAGTCAGACTGATTTTCTGCTCTCCGTCTCTCTGCCGCTCCAGCAGCATTCTGGGGCTCTTCTACCTGGCAGCAGCTGGGTCAGCACCCGGAGCCATTTCTCATTGGCTGCCTTGGCCCCATCCTCTTCCACCCCCCTCCGAAGGGCTAGGATTGGGCTCCGTCTGACTCTGGTGCCTCTGCCCAGCCCCCGCTGTTGCTCCTATAGCTGCCTGGACCTCCCTCCACACTGGATGTCTCCCGCCTTGGTGAAGGCAGCTAGAATGGGGGGGGGGCTGTGGCTCCTGCTGCTCCTCCTGAGTGGGATCTTGGTGGTAGGTAAGCCCACCCCACCCAGGGGGAGGGGCCGTAAAAACCACGGGAGGGTGGGCCCCGTGGGCCCCGCAGTAGCTACGGGCCTGCTGGAAGCCCTCTTTGAGGGCAGTCCCCTCTTCCAATTTGTTTCTGTCTCAGCCTCCAGAAGTTGGTTACCTTCACACAGTGTCATCATGAGACAGATTTCAGTTGTGTCTTCACTCTACTGAAACTCTGAACTGCCCTAGCTGAATAAGTAACCAATGCTGTGCTGTCCTGTGGAGTGTATCCAGAACATTCTGCCACGACAGTTTCAGCCCAAGAGGACAAAAGGGTGGCCTTCCTCACAGACCAGGCATCTGCAGAAAGCCTGCTGAAGGTTTGCCATGCCAACATAAATTGATCCACAATATCTACGTGACTCTTGGTCTGGGGGTCTTCCAGGGGTCCTGCTGCAGACAGGAGGAAAGCCTGTCAGTCGGAAGATCAAGAAGTGCCCACCCTGCACCTAGAAGCCGGCAACAGCATTGGTCTGTGAATGGGGCATGGCCACACCCTCTGGCTAACATCAGCTTTGCCTCTTCTGCCCTTGAGCATGTGGAATGCTCCAACTTTGGCACTTGGGTCGGCAGGATGTCAGGAGCTATCTGTTTGCCTGGCCGTGCCTTGTGATAGGGGCAGGATGTTCGGTGACACACTGTTCATCCTCAGTAAGAGTAGTCTTCCCCAGTAGGTATTCCAAGTATGCAATTTGTTAGTTTTCTTTCAAAAAGGAATAGACAAAAAGAAATTTGCTGTAAAGGCAGGAGAGGGGGCATGTGAGTGGTGGCTGCCCCTTTCCCTCACGGAGGCAGCAACACTGGAGGTGGGGGAAGGAGGAGCAGAGGCCCAGGCCATGGGAGCAATGGGGGGGAGGAGCAAAGATAGCTGGAACGGGATGCCCCCTCCCCACAAGTTACTTGCGAGTCCCCATTTGTTCTCTAATTCTGTAATTCAGGTGTTTTTGCACTGTTGGTTGTAGGTATTATGCCTGTGTTTACTGCATATAAACTTTATTTTAAAAACATTAGTCAGCATTACATAACTCAAGCTAGAGGGGTTTCTCCCCATTTTTCTTAAATGGGATTATGGGATTTATTGACCAATCAGACTCACAAGGGTAGCAGAACGCATGGACCAGTCTCCAATTGGAGTGGTGAGAAATAGGTAGGTGTTGTGAGTCAGCCAGGACTCAGCAACAGCAGGAACTCCTCAGGAGAAGAGGACTCCTCAGGAGAAGAAGACCCTCAGGTTAGGGTTAGGACTAGGGTTACGTGCCACTGGGACTCCTGAGGGCAAAAATCCTGCAACTCACCCATGATTCCAGACCAGCCAGACACTTTAGTTGACACAAGACTGCTCACTTATTGACACACGAGTTTTGGTGGCCACAAGTACACTCAGACATAGCTCGGTATGTGGGCTTATATGAAGTTTGCAGGTGAGCCACAGATCTTCCTGGCAAGCCCACCAAGTTATTCCAACTGCTGCCTGTGTCCTCAGGACCTTGGAAGACCATCTCTAAGGGCTTCATAACTGACCTTCCCTGATCCAAAGGCCACACATGCATCTTCATAGCTCTTGGTTATTGTAGATCTCTTTACAAAAATGGCCCATTTTGTCCCATGCCCTAGACTTCCCACTGCCCAGAAAACAGCACAACTGTACATCCAGCAGATGTTTAAACTTCATGGAATCCCAGACCACATGATCACTGACTGGGGAACCCAGTTCACATCTCGGTTTTGGCGGGCACTGCACTCCCTCCTCTGTACTCAGATCCACATGACTTCTGCTTACCATCCACGATCAGATGGACAGACTGAGCACATGAACATGACATTGGAACAGTAGCTGCACTGTTATACTAACTACCAGCAGGATGATCACTGAATTCATGTACAATTAATGCAGTTCATTCCTCCATCCAACAAACTCCGTTCCTAGCAAACTATGGATACCACCCCCATTTTTTCCATCAATCACACCCACCACGAATGTCCCTGCTGCAAATGACTATGTAGAGGAGCCGCAATCACTCCAGGTCCTACTATGGGAACAACTGCAATGGGCAAAAGAAGCCTACAAGATGGCCATGGACCATAAACACCAACCAGGTCCAGCATTGACAGTGGGAGATCAGGTTTGGTTATCGACCCATCATATCTGTCACTAAAGCCTCTCCTGTAAGTTGGATGCTCAATTTATCAGCCCGTTCATAATAATTGATCAGACCAACCCTGTTGTCTACCAACTCCAGCTGCCAACCATGGTCCATATCCACCCGGTCTTCCACCAGTCTCTCTTGATTTCCACTGCACCCGCTAATTCCATTCATTCACAGCCCATGTCCCCACCACCAGTACTCATGGATGGCCAGAAAATGTATGAGGTGAGCCAGATCTTGGACTCCCGACATCACCAGGGACAGTTGCAGTACCTGGTTGATTGGATGGTATATGGTCCAGAAGACCGTTCTTGGGAGCCCGCAGACAATCTTCATGCAACTACCTTCAGAAACCATGCTCCTCAGTTGGGGGGAGCTGGGGGCGGTGTCGCAACAGCAAGAACTCCTCAGGAGAAGAAGAGCATCAGGAAATCAGCTCTGAACCAGGATTAACTGGCAAGCAAGATGAGCCGCAGGCTTGTCAGAGTTCACAGCAGACAGCTGATGCAGAGCCACCAGCAGTTCCAACAGAGGAAACCCAGGTGGTCATTACCCACCCTCCAGTTTCACCCATACCCTTTGAGCACTGGAGACAAAGGCTTAGCGTGGGGCTTCAGGAAAGAAGACAAAGCATATATCTCCTGGCCCAATGCCAGCTGCTTGCTGATGATGAGTAGCTGCAGGGTTACTCCCAAGCAGCTGGCTGCAAGTAAGACCTTCCCGCAGAGGCCTATAAAAGCCAATCAAGGGAGAAGGCTTGATGTGGAAGCAACAAGTCACCAACCACAGCTCTGAACTCTGCTCTTGTGACCTTTGGACTGGCTCTTGACTCTGACATCTTCCTCCCTGCATTTGTGAATGACCTTGAACGGTTGGACCTTGCTTCCTGTATAATGCTCTAAACTGAACTCTGCTCTCTCAGTAACTGGCCTTTGGACTGAACTTTGACTCTGACCCTGGAATTTGGCTTGGACTGACCCTAGATTTTGACAGTAGGTTTGTCAACCTCCATGTGGGGCCTGGAGATCACCTGGAATAATGACTGATCTCCAGACTACGAAGATCAGTTCCTCTGGAGAAAATAGTTGCCTTGGAGCGTGGTCTGTATGGCATTATACCCCACAGGTGGCCCTCTCCCCCCTCCCCTCAGGCTCCACCCCCAAATCTTCAGGAATTTCTCGACTTAGAATTGGTAACCCTAACAGTAAGTGAAGGTTAAGTCCATGGGTGTGGTTTGCTTGGCTGTGCTTTGTGGCTCAGACAGGGCCTCTGCTGTGACCAGTGTGGTGTAGTGGTTCAGTGTGGTGGACTCTAATCTGGAGAACTGGGGTTGATTCACCACTCCTCCTCCACATACAGCCATCTGTGTGACCTTGGGTCAGTCACAGTTCTCTCAGAGCTGTTCTCTCAAGAGCAGTTTTCACAGCGCTCTCTCAGCCTCACTGACCT